CTTAGCTGGCTGAACTTTTACCGGAACTACGTCACACCGCTCTGTGCATATAGCCTATTCTTTCGCGCGAAAGGGAAACACACTGACGTCACATACGGGGCACAAGGCTACATTGCGCATGTCATGAACCGTCGAACCGTGCGACGCATGCATGCTCCGAACCGAGACAAGCGAACCGAACGGTTCGGTTTTTTTTCCATGAACCGTGCCATCCCTAGTATGCATACATGAAATCTAGTGCACATGTGACTGCAGGTCGGGCAGTGACATTACTGTCACAAATTTCCTGCCTGTGTCTGTGCCGTGTAGAAGAATGTAAAGTGTCATCCTAAGGGCTTAAAATATATAACTTAAGACAATTCACGTAAAGTATTGCTTTGAAGAGTGATTTGCGTTATTTTCTTACTTAAAACATAAAATACATATTCATGTATTTGTATTACATACATAAACAATGTGTCAAGTTATATGAGTTTATCTGTTATTATTTTTCTAATAACTTAACAGCTCTGATGACATGCTAGAGTTGCTGCACCACATGCAGAGGACAACCTCCCTGCTTGCTGAGCGACTGGCCAATACTTCATCCTCCTCTGCTCCACCACTGGCGTCCCGCTCAACCTCCTCTGCCCCATCGTGTCAATTCTGCTCATCCTTTTCTGTGCTGCCTCCACCTCAGTCATCTTCTTCTTCTTTTCCATCCTCCTGTTTGCTGCCGTCCTCATCTTTGTCACCCTCCATCCTGCTTCCATCATCTTTAAGTGCATCACCATTGTGTGTTGGGAATTCACAAAGGCATTACCGTGAACCCTTTACCTCCTCTGCCTGTACTTCCAACAGGGAACCGCCCACACAGTTTTCCATTGGGAGGGTGGAGAGGGATGTCACACAAAAGAAAAAGAGAGGTGCCCTGGACACATACGTTTGTGTGCCTCCCAGAGCCTGACTGTGTTGCTGTGCCCAATCCTGAGGAGGCTAGATATTTTGAAACATGTGGTATAGGGAGGAAAATGATAACCTTTCAGAACAACACAGGGGATCACGCCTATCTCACACAGCATTTATACAACACCTACCCACCACTCTGTGAGGCTGGTGGTTACACACTTGCAAAGAGTGACAGAACAAAGAAATTAACCAAAATCCCTACACCAGCATCAGGATACTGCATTGATTACTTGAGACGTTGTGTGGTAATTCCATTACAGCGGGGACTTGTCTTGAGGCAGCCTGTGGTCAAGGTATACTTAGTGTTCTTTAAATTGTTTTGATTCTTTTAAATATTACTGCATGCTGTTCTGTATTTGATATCACATCTTCAATTTCAGGCCCCGCCTGTGATGGAGAGATGTTTGAGATGTGAAAAGGACTTTCCCCTCTGGGACCTGGCAAGCCATCTCAAAATATGGTAATATGCACTGTGACTGCATAAATGCCACAAAGTGGACAAACTTCAGATTGCTAAGTTGTGGATGCTGACTTCTACTAGTTAGCTTTAAGCTATGCTTGATCAGCAAACTGGGTTTTCAGATTGTGTACTTTCTGCTGCAATTCTCAGTGGATGTCAGCGTAAATTACAATAGTATAGATTTTAAAGGTGCATGAGCCTCTCTTGTTGATTGACTGGAATACTGCACAAGAAATGTGGTTTCCATTCACCTACAGTAGAAAGGAAAATGTGCAAATTTGATGGCAAGGGTATTGTATTAATATCAAGATTGTTCATTTCACAGTCAACATTTTTTCCAAGAAGAGTTATTATTGTTAGGGATGCACTGATCCAACTTTTTCTGTCCCGATACCTGGGTTTTGGGTATTACCCAATACTGAGTACCAATCTGATACAATTGTTCAATTAATAAGCAGTAGTAGAACAGGCTGTGATTATTCTTTAATGTGTAAGGCAACATCAGGCTTAACTTAAAGCTTTCATAACTTTGTAAAACAAAATGTAACACACACACGCATACATATATAATCACAATTCAGTGAATCTGTATACAGTGGAACCTCAGTTCTCATACTTAATCCGTTCCAGAAAGCCGAATCAATTTTTCTAAGAAATAATGTAAATTGAATTAACCTCTTGAATTATTATCTCTAGCAAAAGATCTCCTAGTCCATAATTTATGTATGTTGTGTTTTTGCTAGTGATTTGTTCCATAAATTTAGGATGTTTGTCAGAGAAGACGGTGCAGGAGAGTGACACATCTTACAATTTGTGCATAATTGTAATAATTTTTGCAAATTCAGCATAATAAAACCTACGTCCCTGAGTGATAGCAAATTTACACATTCAGAATAAACAGATTTTATGTAATTATGCACATTAAATAAAAATAACACGATTACATAACTATAATAGCAAATTAAAAAGTAAAACGTGCTTGCTAAATCAGCATATGCTCTGCTGCTTTAATGCAAGGTGCTTGCCAAAAGTTGCCATTTGAGCTAGGTATAGGCTAATAAATTTAAGAAAGCTTGGTCAAGAGAGATAAAAATGACATAAGTGGAATGTAGGAACCAGCCCAGGCATTGACAGGAGAGGAGACTCTTGTTCCAAAGATTGGGGGCACCTCTGTTATTTGGAACTGGTTCAGTTTTAAATGATCAAAATATTTTTATTTACATAACGGGACAGGACATGCTGCTCCTCCCAAAACTTGAAAGTAGAGTAATACCGTGATATAATATCGTCACCGTCCAAAAAGTGAAAAATATGTTGTATTGCTCACCCCTATTTTCAAGTGCAGCCATGACCCATGATTCCTGTTCAAATTAAAAATCAAGTTATAAAAATAATAATAGCGTGTTTTAATTAAAGTAACATATGACCTAATGAAATACTGTTTTTATTGTTACCTAATTTTAAGCTAATTTAGGCTCCCCTGGTTCCTCCTCCCTTTCCCTTTGTCCCTCCTGTCTCTGCTCCTCGTCCCCCTCTGGTTCCTTCGTTCACTCCTGGCCCTTTTGTTCCGCCTGTCGGTGTTCCCCCGGTGTCTCCCTTCCTGGTCTGTCCGCGTTCCCCGTCCTTTGTCAGGTTTTGTCTTGGTTTTTGCCCCTTTGCTTGTTTTGTGTTTCTGTTCTGTTCCCGGTCCCTCGTTGATGTTTTTGCTCTTGTTTTCCAGGTCCTGTTTCCCCAGTCTTGTCTCGTCCGTCGCCTCCCCTGAGGCGCGCCCGGAGTGCACGCCTTTGGGGGGGGGGTTCTGTCATGCCCAGCTCCGTCCGATCCTTGTGTGTGCCACGCCCCCTCATTACCTCGTGTCAATTCCTGGTTGTGATCACCTGTGTCCTGTTATTTCTGGCTAGTCTTATGTATTTAGTCCGCGTCTGAGAATGTCTCGTCAGATCCGTCATTGTGGTGTCAGTGGATGTTCGTACCTGTCGACCCTCAGTCTGTAAATAAACCCTGTTTGCCCGACTTCACAACTCCACTCGCCTGCTTCCCGGCTCGCCCGCCCCGAGACTCCTGACAGCATGCTACTTTTCAGCAGCAAAAGTCATGAAGAATATGAGGAAACCACATCACAGTGCTCAAAGGAAGGGTATGTTGCGTTTTACGAACAAATTATTGAATTTATGTCATTCATATTATCCTTTAAAAGTGTATTTCACATAGTTAAGCTAATATGCTTTTTGGGTTTCCGTAGTGATGAAGATGAAGATCTTGCATTGGCCATCTATCAATCACTTCAGGTTGGCTTTGTTGTCTTAAAACAGACTTAAAGTATGAAGGTGCTGTCAAAGTCACTTGCAATGGTTAAATTGGTATTTGTAATTTCTAGCATAACTGCATGGGTATTTTTGGTATTAATATCAGGTTCTCCGCACCATGTGCTGTCATAGAGTATGACCCAGCTGCCTTTTGCAGATATGGGTATGTGCAGTATATTTAGCAAGTAAATCTTATTCTTAACTGTCCTGAAGTATTGTAATTGATAGTTGAGATATGTGTGTGTAGGCTTGGGCTTAACCAAATTTTATAGATTATGGTCAGGGTATTTAAGGTCATGTCTTTTTTCCCTCTTAAACTTTTCTCAGCCAGTGGAGGTTCCATCTGATGGCTGTGTGGTTGTGCAGGATGAAGAGTAAGTACCCTTTACCCTAGTAGTTCTAATGACTTCTTGAGATATAACTACAATTTTTAGGGGTCACACAGCTTTAGAGTACTATAGCAGTCACATCAATTCACAAGTTTCTTTATTAACATTTGAGTACTCATTAAATGCGATGCTAGATCTTCTAAAGGGCTAGAAAGGCTATAAAACAACAGATAGCAAACTTAACAGTACTCAGTCACTCGGGTTTTTAAGAAAACAAGTACAAGTTGTACAATTATACACTCATGTAACCCCTAATAGTCACAAAAAATCTTATTTTATTTTGTTTTTGCAGACCCCACATTGTCATTTCAGATGATGGGAACTTTGAGGAGAAAGAGAGCGAGTAAGTGCAATCCTGAAGTACACCTTCTAACATGGCCAGCAGTTAGCTTGGGCTTTCCAGCTAATGAGGAATGTTAATTACCTCAGAAATTTAGTAGTCTATGTACAGCATATATACAGTATGCAGTCTATTGATTATCAGTGCCTGTATCATTTACTAGTTAAGTTAATACTATTTTGATACCTTAATGTATAATTCATAGCCAATGTTAACCAGGTAATTTTAAAAAATAAATATAAGAACATATGAACTATACAAACGAGAGGAGGCCATTCGGCCCATCGAGCTCGCTTGGGGAGAACTTAACTAATAGCTCAGAGTTGTTCAAATCTTATCTAGCTCTGATTTAAAGGATTCAGCTTGCACTATGTTATCAGGAAGACTATTCCATACTCTGACTACACGCTGTGTAAAGAAGTGCTTCCTTAAATCCAGTTTGAAACGTTCTCCCGCTAATTTCCACCTATGGCCACGAGTTCTTGCATTTGAACTAATGCTGAAGTAACTATTCGGTTGAACAGCATCCAAACCTGTTAGAATCTTATAGACCTGGATCATGTCCCCCTCAGTCTCCTTTGCTTGAGGCCGAACAGATTTAGCTCAAATAACCTTTCCTCGTATGACATTCCTCTAAGACCAGGAATCATATTCTTGTGGCCCTACGCTGCACCTTTTCTAAGGCCGCAATGTCCTTTTTAAGATATGGTGACCAAACCTGCACACAATATTCTAGGTGAGGTCTCACCAAGGAAGTGTATAATCTTAGCATTACCTCCCTTGACTTAAACTCCACACACCTGGAGATATACCCCACCATCCTTTTTTATTGCTTCCCCGCACTGGAAGATGCTTCCTGATGGCAAGTTATTCGTTTTATTTTTGTTCTCAGGCCAGTGATTTTGTTATCTAGTGATGAACACTTGGATGAGGATATAGCAAACGAGTAGGTAAAAACACCACTAATGAAGTTACATTCAGCAGCCATAAACTGTGATGCTTTATGGAATTGGATCCATTCATTTTCAGTGACTCCAGCATTTGCGCTGTCAGGCAGAAACCTCATATCTACATATTTTGTCTTTTTTTATTTTTATAAAACATTGCTATTGGTCAATGCTATTTATTTATTTATGTCTCAGGGGTTCCTGCCATATCTGCTGATGACAACTGCTCACAACCCACGGAATCTATGCCAGTATATTACTGGTAATGATGCTAGTTAGAATGGGAGTAGAGATAAGGACTGACTTTACTTCGTCACTCCCATTCCCACACGACAACAAAATGGTAAATTAGAGGTAGATAAATAGGTTTCAGCATTAATGGTCTAAGAGTTTGAGGTTAATGGTATTAAAGTTTCATCTATTGAACTCACCTTATTCAGCTATGCCAATGTAAAGTCCAATTTTCATTGTATGGCATCTTTAATTGAAATTAGTGACTAAATCTCATAAGTCCATTGGATCCTCAAACTGTTGGCAAATCCTCATAGCTCCACCCTGCCTCCATTTCCAGCAGTAGCTTTCTCTCCTGGCTCTGGCCCTGCATGTTGCTATGGTATTTGCCTTTTTATTTCTGCTTGTCTGGCTTATGGTAGCTGTAACTCGAGCTTTTGAGGAATATTTTTGACAGTTTCTGGTTGTTTGCAGTGCAACAGCTGCAATGCAATGCTAAATAAAGAGTTGGTTGCTTTAAAAAGTATAACATTTACACCAGGAACACTAAAGGCAGCTATACACTCTGTGACAACAGCAGTCTTACAACATCATCACGTCATATTGTTTGCTCTCAGTCTTAACTGTGTTCCCTGTCAGACTGTATGATCTAACATTGGTTGCATGACAAATGGATCGGTAAAAATGCCTCATGAAACATGATTGAGCTACAATGCAGCCAGAAGGTGGATGGGTGCTTGTCATTCACCTGCGTCGAATTTTGTCAAGCAAATGTCTGTGTGTGTGTGTTTTTTACTCTCGAACAGGAGTTGGACAAAAAGGCAGTGGACTTAAACTGCTGTTCTTGTGTGTCCCATATAAAATCACCCCTTCTCTGTTTTGTCAGACTGGTGCTTATATTGTGCATTGTCATTCCATTTGAAACTCTTATTAGAGTTATTAGACTCTGATTAGAGAGAATAATCTGTTCGTAGCACTCAGTCTTTCATAATAGGACAGTTTGGCCAAATGTATTCAACAGCAGGAAAAATATCACAATAGCTACAATAAACTCTGTAACCTGTAAGTTAATAGTAACCTTACTCTGATTCACTTACTGTCTGTGCACGTATCTGAGGATTGGCTGCTGAAGAGCCTGGTGATTGCATTTGAGCTTGATTTAGGTAAAATGTTAATATAGTGACATTGGCTAGTGTCATTATATTATATATAAATACAATACCAACTTTGACAACGTGGTGTTCAGTTATTTTAACATTTTTTGTCTTAATTTCCTACAGAGTAACAGTTTTACACATACATGACTGCTATGATAAGAATTGGTGTAATAACATTAGCTGAGTGGAAATATGATTGCAAAAGTAATTTTTGTTTTTGCAGGCCTGATATGATGTCAATATTAAAAAACATCAGCAGCCAGCTGGACACAGGAGAACACCCACAGTCCAACAATGTAAATGTTACGCGGGACTCTGTACTGGAGAGTGCCTTCAGAACCTTCAGGAGGCAGAGGTTTTCTCCAACTCATCGCCTCAATGTTGTCTTTGTTGACAATTATGGCATCACCGAGGGGGCTGTAGATGACGGCGGGCCAACAAGGGAATTCCTTCGCTTGCTGGTCGTGGCAATTAAGGACAGCATTTATTTTTATGGACAAGAAGACAAGAAAAACTTGTCTTTGGTGTCCCGTGGTATGCAGCACTCATTTTTATACACACACAGACACACACATGCATATGTAATACTTGTTTAAACATTCACTGACAATTTTTTTATCAACTGACCAACACATACTTTGTCTATATAAATATACACACAGCTGGCCAGTACTAATGGCACCCAGGAAATTGAAGTCCATTTGTGTCTGGTTGTATACCTTTTCTTGTGTAACAATTTGTTTCAGCTTTGGATGCTGGGGAATACAGACTTGTTGGACAGATGCTGTGTGTAGCCCTTGTACATGGAGGCATCAAGCCATCCTTTTTTTCAGAGCGCCTGTATTGCTGTGTCTCCCGTCTTCCAACTCCTCAAATCAGTGTTGAGGAAGTGGATGACTGGGAACTTAGGGAGAAGCTGCAAAAGGTAAATATCACCTCAAGTGTCATCACATGGAGGGATAAGTGGGAAAACATTCATCTTGCTTATTAAAGATCTGCTTACTGGATGTTTTGATTTA